CCTATTTCCTTTCATTTCCTATTAGAATCGAGTAGTTGTACCCTTTGTTCAAAAATCTATTTATAATAAACTTCTTAAATTTTCGTGCTCTCTCTTCGTTTATTTAATCACATAGACAAATTCATATAATTCGAGTTCGGCCTGAACCCACAGTTGTGGACCTCGAAGAGTGCCTAACACCTTCTCTTCGAGGTAATTTCGAGCCCTTACCCGATCTTTGGTGACGCAAACTAGTCAAACAAAATTATCTGCAAATAGGTGCTATAACGCACCTTAAACCCGTTAGGTGGCGACTCTCTCTCTTTTAACACCCTTCCTTTAAAAGAGTTGTCACGTGTCGAAACCCGATTTCGCGAGAAAAAGGGGGCGCGACATCCTTCTCCTTATCAATTATGCAACCTTTTCAATCAGGAAATATCATTTATACTAAGTTAAGCTTATCTCCTTCACGTGCATCCCACATGCTCGAATCTGCCCGTGTCTATGCATAAAAGGGATGGACTGGTTCATGCCTGAGCTTCCTTTGTCAATCTTCAAAACAAACATTCACTTGGGCCAACAATACATATAGTAGTAATTACATGCAAAAGAACGCCAATATTTTCTCTAGTAAACGAGCTTTCTAATTACTCCAATACTCTTAATACTCGTTATACATATAGTACAGTAAATGAAATCAACATTTTAAAGTGTGTGTGGTGCCATTTGAAGTGGAAGGCAAGCATCACTAAAGAAGGAATATTCTACGCAAGGGGGTATTAAAGAAGGGAAGATTTCGGTAGTATATAATATGCTAGCAATAGTACACAAAGTGCAACTATCGAGTCATTAATTCAGCACGACGTGAGGGAAAAACAACATGGAAGGATTGGTTCTTTGCTCTGCAAACTACACACCCTTGACTCCTCTAAGTTTTCTGGAACGAGCTGCATTTGTTTACCGCAAAAGAGTTGCCCTAATTCATGGAAATACAAGTTTCTCGTGGGAGGAGTTGCATGGAAGATGTGTCAAGCTAGCTTCTGCTCTTTTTAAGCTTGGAGTCTCCCCTGGTGATATTGTAAGTATGAATTTCCTCTTCACATACTTTACACATATTTTATGGAATATGGATGATTCAATATCATAACATGTATAGTAGTTCTGCTTGTTTTAGAAGCTCTATTTAGCTTGTTGTTGGGTTTAGCTCTTTTTCTTTATTTACTCATGAGTATACTCCCACTTATCAGCAAAACTTGCACGCGTAGATTGAACTTTCCTTATATACAGGACGTACTCTAGGTTTTATATATTCAGAGGCAGATCCACGATGTAAATTCAATAAGTTCAAGATTCTGATCAATTCTTTGAAAGTATGGGTTCAAGACAACAGACTTAATATTTGAATACTCTAATACTTTTCAAGAATATTATTCAGACATATGCATGTATACTATAAGCGAAAAATGGTAGGTTCAATTGATCAATCTCAACATTATAAGTCCGCCCCAATTCATACTTCAACTTTTAGCCGAAAGCAGTTGCACTTCACCAATCAAGATATATGTAGACTGTTTCTTTAGAGACTAATAAAGAGAGGTCGTTGAAGATAAAATCTTCTTTCATGCTAACTTCCTGAAGGCAAAAGTAGGAGTGAACACATTCATTCTTTCAGATATATCTTCGCTGGCAAATACTCTTTTAATTAAATGGCTACCATGCAAGACTAGCTAGATCTCAACCAAGTCAACAAGCTATAAGGTATAATCATGCACAAGATGGTGCGTAGAAGAATGGTTCTATTCTATTTACACATATAATAAGACGACTCACAAACAAACTTGTGCTCCTCTACTTCTTAGTTCTTCCTATCCCTTGCAGACGTACGTAGACCTTGACTTACAAAGTTTGCCTGCTAATTATCCAAAGAAATATTCCTCCACTTCTTCGTTGTGTTCTTACTTGCGTCTGTCATTTAAAGCCTCATTTCATATATGACTCGACTGCTTTGTTATTAAGTCATTGAATATGATTATTATAAGAACATTGCGCGGTCTTTTTCCATCAACAAACCATATTTGTCCACTTATTAGCTATTCAAAATCCATTTTAAGAGTTCATTCTTATAATTTGCTTCTGAATTCTAATAGTAACGACAGAGCAAGCTTCTCGAGCTTCATGCTCTTGTTGTTCCTATCCTTTGTATTTTTCTTCTTCAATAAACGTATAAAATATGTTAGATAAACTGCGTCATGGCGTCAACATAAGGGGCTGAGTGGGGCCTGAACCTCCGCCCCCTCTTCCGTATACTGTTGGCAAATTGTTGGCTTAATAATAATCTAATCTAATGTCTGTTAATTGTGTGAAGAGTTATTCTTGTTAGGATCGCCTATATTGGTTAGCCAAGCCAATGCTAATATTTGCGTTTCATAAAAAATTCTTGTTAGTATCGCATGTGATATCGTGTTACCTACCATTTTCCCAATTACTAATTACTTATCAATAGATTCACCTTTCAATTACATAGTAAGTGACCAGAATGTGTAAATATTTTTTATATTATTAATGTATAAAACCTAAATTCTTACTAAATAAAGTTATAACAAATGTACAATTACCTTTTAAGTAACAAAATAAAATAAATAATTTTTACACTATTAGTATATAGAATTAAACTCATTATGAAATATTAGTAATAGAGATGACATCAAATAAAGTTATATTTGGATTTAATGAATAAAGGGATTATGTATGCCCATTTAGAATTTTGGTGAAATATTTTGTTATTTGTATTGTTGGTAAGAACTAAGAACCAATGGACTGCTGGAAAAGTGGGTTTGTGGTCCCACTTGTTCAATTAATGAAAAATTCGAAAGAATGCAATATGCAAAGGTATTCCAAATTAAGACAATATAATAAAATACTTAAAAAGAAAAAAGATATGCATATGTAGAGAAAATACTCACTTGTACACGGTACAATATTCATCAGATAATGTTGTAATTCCTATGATTAAGTGATAAATCGAGAAAACAATGCATATTAGGATCATGGTTATGTAATAACCTTTTATAAAAGATAATACTTATTTTTTGTTATATACACCGTGCGTAGTATGCACCATATATAGTATTTTCTGATATAACTATACCGCTCTACATAAATCATGGTGCTTTTTTCTTTTTTTCTACGGAACGAGATGGAGTAAAAGTTGTTCAAAATGTGTTAGCAAGTTTTTCTGATCTTAAGGTATTTTATTTCAAGTCATGTGGCGTTTTCTACTTTTTATGTTTAGAGAAATTATAAAAAGAACAAAAATTATATCACGATTAAACACGTGCAAAGGTGTTTGTGCATACTCGTTGACTTTTTTGTTCCCTTATTTTAGTGGCTTTACTTCAAAAAAAATTTGCATTACCATTTTCATTTAGTTAAACAAGTGAGACCACAAGTCTTCGTCTCAAATAGTAATACAAAAGTGTCTCACGTCAAAGTTGATCTTTTAGATCAGAACACATACGCGTTAACGGGAAAAAAATAATCTTATATCAGGTACCATTCTGCATCCGACATAACGTTGGCTCTGATTAGGCATTGTTATTATTTGTTGTCTTCGTCGTGTTTAGCAATATGTTAAAGATCCACATTAGGAAAATTGATGACTAGGTGCAATTAATATGGCCTATGAGAACACTAAAATAATGGTGCTTGGACTCTTCAAAAATATCAATGAGTGCGTGTCAGATTCTTCAAAAATAGTATATTTTTGGAAGATGATTGATGATAATTATTTTGAAGAGTTTGTGCAACATAGTATTAAATCATGATCTAGATGCATGAATTCGATAGTGGAATAAGTCAATGGTCGTATAGTTTGGAAGTAACATGCATGAGCAAGTGAACATATAATATAAGATACTAGGTCTTTGATTCAAATTCTGCTAAAAATTTATACAGCTCCCCTTCAGCTTTTGGTAAAGAGGAGATTCAACATCTTCTTTGTTTCTTTTCATTCCTGCTGTCAACGTTTGGAAGCTTATAATTAGCAAGTGATAGTTTCTTGATTAACCTCATAATAATCGACATTTTGAAAAAAGAAATGTCACACCTAAATTTAAGACATACTTGGAAGTAGTTGATGTCTAAGCAAACGCTTGCGAATGATTTTCTGTTCTTCGTTTTTCATGTTTTTCCTGTCATTATAATTTTTATTTTACTTTTTAGATTCTGTAATAAGCTCAATTTTTATAAGCTTAATCCAATATAAACAGGTGGCAGCAGTGGCACCTAATATACCAGCGCTGTACGAGCTGCATTTTTCTGTACCAATGGCTGGGGCAGTCCTTTCTGCACTTAACCCAAGGCTAGATGCTGCCACTTTAGCACAACTACTACAACAATTAGTGGCCAAAGTCATTTTTGTATACTCTGACTTCATTGAGATTGTGCTTCAAGCACTTAACATTCTTCAAGAAAAAGACAAGCCATATTTTCTGGTCTTAATCCATGAAAGTAGCAATACAAAAGAACTACCAGTATCATCACCACCAACAAAGATTCTGGATTACCATACCCTTCTAGAAATGGGGCAGTCCAATTTCAAGATTGTGTACCCGAAAAATGAATTAGATCCGATTTCGATAAGTTTTACTTCTGGATCAACAGGGAAGCCTAAAGGAGTAGTGTATAGCCACAGAGCTGCATATTTGAATGCAATTGCTGATATTTTCAGATATGAGATGGGAAAAATGCCTGTTTTTCTATGGACAGTGGACATGTTCCGATGTAACGGATGGTGTCTCCCCTGGACAGTAGCTGCTTTGGGTGGCACTAACATTTGCATAGAAGAAATCAATGGAAAAGAAATTTTGGATGCTATTTACCTTCACAATGTGACACATTTTTGTGGTGCACCAATGATTCTTAGCAAAATTGCAGATGCCATAGCCACAAATCAACCCCTGTTACCTCACCAAGTGAATGTAACTGTAGCAGGGGTATTGCCACCACTAGAAATTCTGACCAAACTGGAAGAATTAGGCTTTATTATTAACCATGCATATGGTATGAGTGAAGCACTTGGTCCAATGATATCAATGTCTAGGAAATATCAAGATGATTTTTCCAACTCGAATGAAGATATGAACGTGAAAATTCGCGAAGGAATTCACAACATTATGATGGAAGAAGTTGATGTAAAAGATCCAGAGAGTATGAAAAGTGTGCCAGCAGATGGGAAAACTACAGGGGAAATCATGTTTAGAGGCAATGCTATGATGTTAGGGTACTTGAAAGATACTTCAAAAACTGAAGAAGCATTTGAGGGAGGGTGGTATAGGACTAAAGATCTTGGAATTAAATACCCTGATGGGTATATACAATTGAAAGATCGCGCCGTTGACATAATCAAATCAGGGGAAAAATTTATAAGTACTCTTGAAATTGAAGTTGTTTTGATTAGGCATCCTATGGTTTTGGAGGCTGCAGTTGTAGCACTACCTGATGATGTTGTAGGAGAGACCCCTTGTGCTTTTGTGAAGTTGAAAGAAGGGTGTTTTGTTACTGATGAGGAAATTATAAAGTTTTGTAAAGATTGGCTACAGGATTACATGGTTCCAAGGGCTGTAATTTTTGGTGATTTACCACTCAATTCTTCAGGGAAAATACAGAAATTTATTCTCAGGGACAAGGCCAAGGCATTAAAATGCCCACTTTCATAGTGAGTGTCACTTACTACACTTGCCTTGTCGACGCCCATTGTGCACTTAACGTACGAGACGCCCAAAAGATTTAGGTGTTTGTTAAAATTTGGCGTGCAACTTGTTTGGAGCTTAGTTCGTTGAAATGTTAATTTGACATTAATATTGTTGAACACTTTAAGGTTTATTGTCTTGGAAGTGTTTTTATTGTTGCTAATCGTTGTTTTGGAAGTTGGACGTAGGATTGGATTCTTTGATGAGAAATGTATATTTTTAGTCGTTTTCAAAAATAGTAGTCGGCAAAATATATAATAATTCTCTCTCTATATATATATATTGGCTAGCAAATACATATTTTATAATGCACAATTAATTCGACCGATCGACCAATTTTGTATTTTACCCTTCTTTTTTTCCATTTGGGCTTCGAGATATACATGTTGATCCAATTGGATGGATCTGATCTACTAAACTCTTGCTATTTCTTATGCTGTCTTTACTTCTTGAATGAGGTATGATACCTAGGGGTGTTCAAAACCGAACCGAAATCGAAAACCGAACTGAAACCGATGCTTAATGGCTTATTGGTATCGGTTAATGGTTTAACGGATGGGGAACGGATTAAAATTTTTTTATTAACGGCTTATCGGTTTGGGGGCGGATTATTCGATTTTCTTAACGGATAATCCGTTAATCCGTTAAGAATATATATATATATATATATATATATATATAAAGTGTAANTATATATATATATATATATATATATATATATATATATATATATATATATATATTAAATAATCAAAAACCCTTCTTCCTCCAGTACATCTAAGTGAATTAGAATAAAAAAAGGCAAATAAAAGGAGTCATCTAACTGTGACAAAAGACAGAATTTACTGTCTGAAACAAGATAACAACACCAGTTACACCACTGCTTCATCAACTTCGCTTGTGTTTTAAGGCATCCTAGAATTCTAAGCATGGCGAATATTTGTTTAAACAACGGCCAATTGGAAATCTTTCACATGGACTAAGGCCAACGTGCATAAACATAAATAAGATTCTAGACAGATGATTTACCCATCACGGTGTCTCTTCTACTTCGTCACTCTTAGTACGTCGACCACCTATTTAAACATGCAGATACTAAATTTTATTTTATTTTGATTGAATTAGGCCGATAAACCGTCCAATAACCGCCCGATAAGAGCTAAGCCGATACCAATCGGCCCGATATCCTATCGGGTGGCTAGCGGATTAATACATTTAAAAGCCGATAACCGATAAGCCAAACCGTTAAGAGTAAATAACCGCCCAATCCGCCCGATAAGTAGCCCTAATGATACCTCTCTTGAGTAATTTATGTAAAATACTCATTGAGCTTAAACTAATTATCTTTTTTTATCCATTTGAAAATTAGTTACATTATATACCTATCCAACTAAAACTAATTATAGAACCTTCATACCCATCCCACTTTTCTTACCCATTTGGCTTAACAAAGCTTAATTTGGCTTGGATTGGTATTGTAAATGCCTATATTTTGACCACTTTTTTCTATTTCGTTTTGTGTTTTTAGGTTAATTATTTTAAGTTTAACAATAGAATTAAGATGAGTTGGGATTGTTGGGCCGAAAACATAGACCAAAATCGGTGGCCCAGTAACTCAAAACCCATTGGCCTAGAAGACACTCCAAACGGCGTTGTTTTGGTCAAGCTACTGAGATACGATCTCAGCCGTTCAAGCTCTTTTGATCTAAAGGCCACCATACAATCTCCCATCCAGGTATATAAACCCCCAATACCCAAAAATTTGCCCCATTTCCCCCTTATTTCCCCTGTTCTTCCTCTCTCTTCTCACTCTCTCTCGTCTCTCTCACCTAGAAGCCGCCTCTCTACCACTGCCTCCACCGCGCGCTGCCGTAGGTGTAACGATCCGATTGGTCATTTTGTGTAATTGTGCCTTGTTATCCCTTTTATTGCTTCACACTTGTGAATTTATGATTTTATGACTTGCAGGGTTGGTTAGTTTCATTCCGAAAAGCTTTTGCGTTGATTTGGACCCTTGCTTCTTGACTTAGAAGTTTAAATTAGAAAATATTGACCAAACTTTGACTTTTATGAAAATGATCCCGGAGCTATAATTTTATGACTTTGATAGCTTCGTATCATAATTTAGTACTTGGGCGTATGCCTGAAATTAATCTTGGAAGTCCGTAGGTTGATTTGTATTGATTTGCCGGAATTTTGCAATTTAAAGTTTAGAAGTTTGACTGTAGGTTGACTTTTAGCTATCGAGCTCGGAGTTTGATTTTGGGACTTGGAATATGTCCGTTATGGTATTTAGAACTTGTCTGCAAAATTTGGTGTCGTTTGGAGTTGATTTGATAAGATTCGGGCGCTTAGTTGTAATTCTAGAAGTTCTTGAAAATTTCTTTGAATTTCATGCATTTTAGAGTTCAATTTGTAGTTTAAGATGTTATTTTTGTCTTTTGATCGCGCGAGCGAGTTCGTATGATATTTTTAGACTTGTATGGATGTTTGGTTTGGAGCCCCGAGGATTCGGATGCGTTTCGGACATGTTCCGGAGAGTTTTGGACTGAAAGTTGCAGAAATCTGAATCTGGTGCTCTGGTGTTGCAATTGCGAACACCAGACTCGCAAATGTCTCAAATGCGAAGGCGACAATAGGGGGCTAATGTCGTAAATGTGACCTCCCATTCGCATTTACGAAGAAAGCAGAATCTGGGCAGAGTTCGCAATTGTAAACATTTTTTCGCATTTGCGATAATTCCAGCCTCGCATTTGCGATGAAGTAAAAGGCTGTCAGGGTTCTTAAATGCGTTCGCAAATGCGAACCCTATGTTGCAAATGCGAAATCTGCACTGGTTAATGGGTTTGAAGACGGGATTTTTGAACTTATTCCCTCATTTTTGAACTCTAGACTCGGTATGAGGCGATTTGGAGATAATATTTTTAACCTACAAACCTTGGGGTAAGTAATTCTAATCTATTTATAATCATATTCTATCAACATATCTTAGATTTTATTATCAAAATCATGTGAATCAAAGTGAAAATTATTGAAACGTTGTCACGTTTTTGAAAAATAAGAAATTGAGTTTTGAGAGTCGATTTGGGCTCGGATTTTGAAACTAATCACATATATGAACTCGTGGGATCATGGGTAGAAGGAATCTACATTGGACCCGGGTTTTGACTGGGCAGGCCCTGGATTGACTTTTGTTGACTTTTTGGTAAAACTGTAAAGATCTTAACTTTATCTATTGCAATTGAATTCCTTAGTATTGTTTGATGATATTGACTCGATTTTGGTTACATTTGAGCCGTGTGGAGGCGGATTGTAAGGGAAAAGCTATTTTCGAGTATTGAATTGACCCAATTGAGGTAAGTGTCTTGCCTAACTTCTTGTGGGGGAACTACCCCTTAGGATTGGTATTGTTGATTCAATTGTGCTAAGTGAAATCCGTGTATGCAAGGTGACGAGTGGGTATCGTGGTATTAGGTCGGTTTAGACTACTTAGACTATTTTCATGCTTTAATTGAAATGACATATCATGTTCTAAATTCTCATAGTCAATTTATCCTTAATTGTGTTAGACTATCCTTACATGACTTAAATGACTTGTTTAGTGCTTGTTCTACATCGTACTTGCTAAATTGCTCCCATGCTTTAGTTGAACTTGTTGCCTCTTTTATTGTTACATGCTATCGCTTCATTGTTAATTATCATTATTTGAAGTCATTGTTCGTGTCACCTCTTTCCTTATTGGTTTTCGCTACTTGAAGTAATTGTTAATGTTATCCCTTTACTTGTTGATTTCCATTATTTGAGACTCATTATTAAATGTTATCTCTTTTATGATGAGTTAGTCTTATCTAATATCGTGGTTATACATTGTGAGCACCTAAGTTTTGCCCTACATGAAAATTACTCCTAAAAAAAAAAAATAAATATTTCAAAATAGTTTTAATCAATATTGTAGAATTTTAGAAACTTTTCTCTAGTTTAGTTAAATTGTTTTACATTTCATTTTTATGCATAAGCACTTTAAATCATGAAAATGCCAAATTTTTTTTATTCTTTCACACATTAAATTTTAGATTTTAATTGAATGTTAGTTGCATTTATAAAATATAAAATACCAAAATACATTTGTCATTGTTAGTTTAAATTATTAGATATAAATAACATAGGTTACTTCTGCAAAAATAGGATTAATTTGAATTAATGGCTAAGTGGCTATAATTTGAAAGCAATTGATCAAAAGCTGAAAAAGGTCAAATTGGGCGAATTCTATTAGCCCAAAACTACAAAAAGAATTTTGGCAGCCCAATTGCCCATCCGCCCCAAGCCTGGACCAATAATCCAACCCCTCTCATTAAAACCTCCACCTAGACCTAATTTCAATTTTTGCCTTACCTAGAGACAAAGAAAAAATGATCAGACCCTCCCCAACACTAGCGCCGTTTTCCACCATCTCCAAAAAGAGAATCCTGCCCATTTTCTGAACCCTCCACCGTTAGCCCCTTTACTGCCGACGCCTAGCTTTGACCCCAAAAATCAGCCGCACACCAAAAAGTAAACGGGAATGAGCTCGAGGTTTTGGGTGTTCAGATCTAGACCAAAAGAATAAACTCAAGCGACACTTTCAGTTCAAGCTCCGATCTTTTTGAAAGATTCCAGTTCATGTGCATCATTTTTTTTTCTTTCGAAAAATTCAGAAGATATTTCAATTTGTGGAAGTGCTTTGCTTTGTTAATTATGTTGATGCTGTTTGGCTCCAATTCTTCAATATTTTGACCATTATTTGGTTTGGTTCTGGCGTTTCGCTGCTGTCCAGGTACGGCTCCTTGACTAAATGACATAAATCTGCAGATTTGTTTGGGAATAAGAACTGGGGGAAATTGTTCATGTGTCATCTGTCCTGTTACCTTTGTTTGATGGCTATTGTTGGTTTGTTTAATTGCTGAAGTTTATGCTTGAATTGATAGCTTTTGGAGCACTGATTTTGAGATTGAGAGCATGACTATAGTGTTGAATTAGGTATCTGGTCAACATGGATATGGGTCAAAACTCAAGACACCCACTGTGACGACCCAAAGGGGTCATCACCTGTTTCCTCATTCGTTCTGTGCTTCCGAGGCCTTAGAAACCTCACTTTTGGTTGCCTCGATTTGCGTGCGCACTCCGGGCACGAAGCCGGAAAATTTTTATGTTAAAATATATGAATCCTGTGAAAAATTTGGTGAATTATG